GCTGCGCCGCTCTGGTCTGTAGGCTCCTTTATGCGTTAAGCAAGAATCTGTGCTACGGCCTTAAGCCAGCGTGAGCCAGCGCGGCATATCGCATAAGCAATAAGCATCAGGGTTGCCAATTCAGTAGGAATCCTACTAAATCTAGTAGTTTTGGAATGGGCGATTATTGGATAGAGTGCTTTCGATTAGAGACCCTCTAATAAGAGTCTGGTCACCTTCTCCCCGGTTTGTGATTGGTCCGACATTTATCATCCATTCCCGCAAATTTCTTTAAAACCAAATTTGTAAAAATTAATAAATTCGTAAAAATTAAAGTAGAATTAAATTTTTCAATTAAAGTTTTTATTTTTATTATTATTTAACATTATTAAATATTTTCTATAATAACTTTTACATATATGTATTATTCTTTTAACGCATAATAAAAAGGATTATTCCTTTACTTAAATGCATACAGAAAATACATCACATTTTTACTTAAATGCATGGTCATCGATTCATAATATTTACGATTAAATGCTGCTACGTTTTTTAAATTTTAATCTTAGAGTAGCAAAAATTTTTTATATAATTTTGTACGCAAATGGTGACAATTTGAAATGTGATCTGCTGGAATAGCATCAAATTTTTCAAACAAAAAGTTTTGTAAATTTACATTAGGCATCATGTGAAAATAAAGGCTGTAATGCCTATAAATGCTTTCTAATTTTAAAAAAACTTTAAATGTTGATAAGTTAACAAAAAGTAATGTATTTGCGTTATAACATTTAAGCCGAGAACTTTTTGGGAGAACTTTCATACTATATCCCTTTTCAGAGGAATTATTGCAGAAGGGAATTGAGCAACAAACCATTTTTTTCCAGAAAAAAGAATAATTGCAAAAAATCATGTTTGAGCAGCCACACAAGACCACACAAGACTCAAATCACAATGATTTTTTTCTTTAATTAATTAGTGGCTCCCGCCTCCAAACAATGTAAAAGGAGGTCGATACGGCCAGATCTCGTCACAATAGTAATAATCGTATATTGAATTCATATGAATTTGTAAAGGTAACGTAAAACTATGAGCTACGGAATGTAGCGCCAAGATCTCGCGACCTCAGTGTGCCACATGAAAAGCGAAGCAAGGCTTCGCTAGGATGGGAAGGGAAGGGCGAGAGCAGGGCAAGGCGCCTGCGCAGGTCACAAGGAGCGCGAAAGTTTAAAGCTCAGAATTGCCTGCAACAAGACTTATTAAAATTAAGAATGAGTCTATCAAGGCATTCGGATGGCTTAGAAATAGCTCGAGTAAATTTAGTTAGTTTGTAGCCAAAAGGCGACGCTCAGTCGACGACGCAACGTAATAAACGTGCGCCATCCGAAAAGACGGAGCAACCGAAAATCATATGCAAAATGTCCTGTTGTGGATAGCCACAAGGACAAGAGGGATCTTCAATAAGATTCTTACGATGTAAGCTAGAATTTAAGTTGTAGTGATCGGAGCGCAAGCGATTGATCATGACGATGATTTCTCTAGAAATTTTCGTACGGTAATACCAGGGTTTAGCGGACCTCGCAAAAATATTAGAAAAAAAGTAGAAGCCTTTGACATCCGCCTGTGATTCTAAATAATGGTAAAAACTATCAGTAATATTTTGTTTAATGACCGCACACAGATCTGAATAAGGTACTTTAAAATTAGGTTCAATGCCTTGACGAATAGCGCGCTTAGCGAGTTGGTCTGCCTTTTCATTGCCCTCGACACCTCTGTGTGAAGGGGTCCAAATGAAATGAATTTCATTACCCTTGGACTCGGCCTCCTCCAACGCAGATTTAATAAGTGGGATAAGGTAGTTGTTAGTAGGGTTCTTGTGACTCTTAACAGCCTCAAGGACACTTTTAGAATCTGTAATAATAGAAGCCTTGGGTAATTTAAGATCGGTAGATAGAGTAACGGCGGTATAAATGGCGTAAGCTTCAGCGGAAATAATCGAGGTATATGACGGAAGTCTAAACATATATTCGGCTTCCAACTACGGGGAGAAGACCGCGGCTCCCACAAACACACTATGGTCAACTTTAGACCCATCAGTATAAAATAACACAGAGTCAGACATGAGGTGCTGTAATTCCTAGTTAAAGAAGGATTGAGCGGGTGGAATAGGAAAAAAGTTGTGAGTATCCGCAGAAGGAAGATAAAGGGAAGTATAGGAGGGAGAAATGGAAGTAGAGCGGAGAGAGGACCGAAAGTTAGGTAAAGTGAATGAACAATCTATAGAGAAGTGATAAGATATCCAAATACGATGAAAAATAAGAGCGGCTGGAAAGCGGGCATGTAAATAATCAGTTCTGTAGGTCCCCACAGCTAAATCGCAAAGCTGATGTAGTTTGTTGACGACAACATGGTTTCGCACGGAGGAGATCTTAAGAAAGTATCGTAAGGAGTCGGAATCTAAAGGAGAGAGTAAGTTCAACTGTCTCGGCATAAATAACATTGAGAGGAGTGGAGATACGGTAACCGAAGCAAAGGCGAAGAGCTTGGTTTTGAACAATTTGGAGCGCACGAGATTGACTGTTATGTCAAGCCAAAAATATGGGCAGAATATTCAATCGACGCCCGTAACATGGCCCGATATATAGTAAGAAGCATGTGAGGGTGTGCTCCCCACCAAGTACCTCTTAGAGCCTGAATAATCTGGAGTGTGCGTCTACTTTTGTCGATGATAAATGACATGTGAGCCTGGCCTGACAGCTTAGGGTCAAGCAACACGCCGAGAAAGCGAACCGTAGGAGACGGTAAAATGCGCTGATTCTGGAAAGAGATAGAATAGTTCATATGGGTTATAGACTTCTTATTAGAGAAAATCATGAGCCGCGTTTTAGGTAGAGAGATCTCAAGGCCGCGTTCTTGCAAAAATACTTCCAGTTCCTGGAGGGAAAGTTCAACGGATTGTATTGCCAACCTGGTATCTTTCAGTGAAGAGAAAATAACTATATCATCCGCGAATTGAAGGAGTTCAGTGTCAGGGTGAAGCGCGTCATTAACGCCTCTTAAGTAAAGGTTGAAGAGCGTAGGGCTAAGAACAGAGCCTTGTGGGGTGCCTTTGAATGAGGTTCTAGGCTCAGAGATAGTGCCCTGACTGATAAACTGAACCGTACGAAGAGAAATGAGGTTGGATATAAAAGATAGTAAGAGAGGAGGGAAGTCAAGATCGCGAAGATCTTGTAAGAGGATATGAGGTAGAACGTTGTCGAAAGCCGATTTAATGTCGACGAAAACCGCTACCGTATCTTGCTTATTTAGGAAGCCCGAGTGAATGCTGGCAGCCAAAGCTGTGAGGTTATCTTGACAGGATCTAAATTTCCTAAAACCAAATTGGTTATTAGGTAAAAGATCAGAAGGAGGAGACTCGATGAGCCAATAGAGGCGATTTAGAATCATTCTTTCCATAATCTTGAGTAAGCAGGAAGTGAGGGAAATAGGGCGAACGTCACTATTGTTAGGCTTAGGTAGAAGGTGGATCAGAGAGTGTGACCATTGAAAGGAGAAAATGGAGCGGCGAAAAAGATTGTTAAAGATAGACAGTAGAGTAAGAAGGAACTTCGTGGGGAGAGCTTTAATAATACGATAATCAATCCTGTCCAGGCCAGGGCTGGAGGAGGCTTTAACTGATTGTAGAGCAGCCCGAAGTTCATTCAGAGTAAAAGGATTGTCAAGCCAGGCTAAGTTCCCGCGATATGGCAGAGGAAGCGAAGGGGTAGGGGGAGGACAGGAGGAAGGACAGAATTTGTCAATGGCATCCTCGATTGACTGGGAGATGTCAGCATTTTTGTTCAGAGCAAGCGAATTGCAAGGGACAAGTCGGCGATTACGGAAGCGCTTGAGCATACGCCAGATATCAGCCGTAGGAGTCATGCCATCAAGTGAGTTGCAAAAGGTTTTCCAACTGGTGCGCTTGGCCTTGCGGAGGATTTTACGGGTCTGTGAAACCACAGAACGATAAAAAAACGTAATTATCCACAGAGGGGTGCTGTTTATAGATTTTAAGGGCCCTACTGCGACGCTTCACCGCGGAAGAACACTCTGGGTTCCACCAAGGGTTTGGCGGAGGACCCCTATTGGTAAAAGAAGCCCGTGAAGATTTGGAAGGAGGAGATTTAGAAGGGGAAAAGTGTTTATAGCTAGCCGCGATAGAGTCATGAAAGTGTTATATTGTGAGACCGGGTAGTCAATGTTACTGATACCTTGAGAGATAGAATCCGCGTTGTTATGTAGATATTGTACAACCGCATCCCACTGAGATTTGGTAAGTTTAATTTTGTTCGAGAAAACCAAGGAAGTATGGACCATGCAATTAATCCGAACCTCTACAGGATAATGATCGCTGCTTAGTAGGTCTGGTAAGACTTGAGCGTCGCATAGAGAGGAGATGCGCGGGGAAGCGATTGCGAGATCGATGGTGGAAGAGCCGGGAGGGGAAAAAGAAATGTAGGTAGGGGAGGAGGGGGAATTAAGTATAACCAAGTGATAGTCATCGATACATCGGCCAAGCAAGCGTCCAGCTGAGTTAGTGCGAGAGCCGCCCCACATAGGATGGTGAGCATTCAAATCACCAAGCAAGATAGAATAATCATCATTATTTAGGTAAGAGGTAATAGAAGAAACGACCTTGGCCGAAGCGGGAACATTGGGGTGTCTGTATGCCCCAATGAGAAGTAAACGTGAGTTATCTAAAGTGAGTGATATACCTAATGCCTCGAAAGAGTCGTCGAGCGAGGAGGAAAGGTCTAAAGGTGAATAAATAATCGGGTTACGAATGAAGACCATCATACCCCTAATATTGGCCAAGTTGGAGTCGATGCGTAGACAGTCAAAACCACGCACGCGAAAATCATGCGAGGGATCTATACAAGTTTCGGCCAGGAACAAGATGTCAAAAGATTCAGCCAGCTTTTCTATGTCACCCATTTTACCGAGAGCACCGCGACAATTCCAGTACGCTATTCTTAAAGAGTGTAGATTAGACATAATTATTCAAGAAAGCTTTAAATAGATTGAGGCTGTTATGAAAATCAGGTCCGAACATTGCAGAGAGGAACGTAGACGGAATAAGGTCAAGAATCTTTAGCAGAAATAAGATAATACAACGAATAAAGTGAGATAGATCGTTTGTGTTACAGTTAGGATCCGAGGGAGGGGAAGAGAGGGGAGGATTAGGTGATGTGGAAGCATGAGCAAAAGGGGAAGATGAAGTGGAAGAGGAAGAATAGCCGTGTCCCGGAGAAGACAAGTTAGGAGATCTGCCGTTTGGTGCCTAGAGGAACGAATTATGGGCCTCACGTAATAGATCGCGGGAGTTCGCAGCCCGCTGGTCCATGGATCTGCTCCTGTTAGGAGGCAAGACACTGTGTTGACTGAGAGTGACAGAGGAGTGAGCAGGCGGGAGATATTCCCGCGGAGGTGGCTGTTGTAAAAGACCATTAGAAGTAGAAGTGGAAAAGGACTTTCTAGTTACAGCGGCAAAAGAGCGATCCGGAATATGGGTTCGAGCCACGGACTCGCTTGCATTGTATGCTGAATCTAAAGCGATAAGATCGTTATAGTTTACGGGAGGACGGGCCTGTGTTGAAGAATATGAGAGAGTAGGAAAGTCAGAGAGATGAAAAATATTAGGAGGGGGAGAGGAAGAAGGAGAGAGAGAGAGGGGGCACCGACTTTGAGGCGTGTCTCAGCGTACGAAATATTTTCAAGAGCCGCAGTTGCATAGATATGTTTATGTCTCAAATAGGAAGGACACGCCGAGGAAGACGGCAAGTGTTCACCCCCGCAGTTGCAGCAATGAGGAGGAAGCCGAAGTCGAGGGCACTCATCAGGC